CATTGTCATCTTCTTCGTCCTGGAAGCTGCAAGTCGGCAAAAATCGAGCATCTCTGCTATTGATAATGTGTCCAGTGCTTCTGTCCAGGAATCGGTACGCTTTTTGTTGCACCGAATAACCAACGAAAGTCATCTTCTGCGCTGCTGCATCCAACTTCGTCCGGTTTTGCTTCGGGATCCACACATAAGCGTCTGCACCAAAAACTTGAAGGTGACCCAGGTCCGGTTTTTCTCCCCACCATGCTTCGTAAGGTGTGGTCTTCAATGACCTGGTCGGAATTCGATTTTGAAGATAGTTCGATGTGTTCATAGCCTCCGCTCAGTACCTCGTCGAAAGCCTTGCATCCAGCAGCATACCCCGCGCCATTTCGTTCAAAGAGCGGTTCTTGCGTTCTGCTGTCCCGTTCTGTTGCGGGGTGTTTGGAGTAGTGAACTGCTGCCTGATTCCTTCTTTCTTGAAAAAAAAACTCACCAGTGACCTGTTCTTGAACTCACCACCATTGTCGGAACGCACAATCTTCGGCAGTCGGCCAAACGTCGTCTTCACTTCCATCACAAAATCTCTCAGCTTCTCCTCAGCATCCGATTTCTCCCACAGGAAAAACACATTTGTGTAGCGAGAATAATCGTCGTTGACAGTGAGATAGTACCGACATCCTCCTGGTGTGACATTCTTCATCGGACCACACACGTCCACGTGGATGAGGTCCAAAGGCTTTTTCGATCGTTTCTTAGACTTCTTCGGAAACGGAAGTCTCGCCAATTTTCCTTTTTGGCAGCACTCGCAAACAGACCGTATACCACAGTCTTCGATTTTCATTCCGGTTACTAGCTCCTTTTTCACCAGCTCCTGGACAGCATCGTTATCTCGGTGACCCATCTTCCTGTGCCACACGTGTTGGCAGTTTTGCGCGTGCGATTTCACCCCGGTCTTCAAAGCGTTGTGGGCGTTTTTTATGACGTACAAACCACTGGACACAGTTGCCACTGCTGCAACTTGCGCTCCTTTCATGATTCTGCAGTTTTCGGTGTCGAAAATCACCTTTCCGCCTTTCGCTACCAGCTTGCACACCCAGATCGCAGCAGTCCACTTCGCACGTTCCTTTGCCCTTCGCAGCTGGCATCGTCCCGTCGGCTAACGTGACGTTTTCCTTTACTGCTTCGTCCAGCTCAAGGAAGGATTTCCTCTCGGCGCACATGTGCGATGTCGCCCCAGAGTCAACGATCCAGTTTCCGGTTTCACCAGTCCCTTTCACCGTGAAAGCACAGTTGTCATTTTTCGCTTCTCGAACCGCCTTCGCTTTAGATGGATTCTTCTGGTCGCTTCTGCTTTCTCCTTCTTGATCGCTTGCTAGCTTCCGGCAGTCCCGCTGCTTATGACCCGGCTTCTGGCAATAACGACACACGATTACCTTCTTACCAGATCCAGCCTTCAGAATGGTCTCCGCGTTGTAGCTACCACGTTTCGTCACTTCGTCGACCAGCTTGGTTTTCACGAGCTCCAGCGTCAATTCATCGTCCGCCCGACTCTCCAACGCGGTCGTCAGCGTGTTGACCGATTTTGGTAGACTACTGAGCACCAACGCAACCTGCAGCTTTTCGTCCAGCTTCAATCCTGACACGGAAAGACGTTCGAAAACTTCCTCCATTTCGTTCACGTGCTTCTCCATGTCCCCGCCTTCACAGTACCGTTTGGAAATCAAGTTCCGCAGATACGATACCTTCGATGTCAACGTCGGCTTCTCGAAAGGGTCCTTCAGCTTATCCCACGCTTCACGAGTCGTTTTCGTCTGCTTGATGAGACCATGCTGGTTTGTCTCCATCAAAAGACCGATTGTCGCTCGTGTACGTTGGTCTCCAGAGTTTCAGGCTTCGATAGCGGCCGCATTTCCCGGGTCACGTTCCGTCGCAGCTCGTGCTTCTGGTCTTGCTCCGTTCCAGCGTTTCGTTCAACTTCGGGACTTGAATTTTCTCCATTTTACCTGGCTTCAATGAAAATTTTCTTCCGTTGTTGATCCGTTTCTTGGCAACCCAAGCGCTGGGCCCATATCCTCTTGGAGGTTAAAGAGAAGTACAACCTGCTTGGTTGGTGGTCTAACAGTAACTAACATTGATTTTCTGAGAGAATACAAATTAATAATAGCATGGCTTGCTTCAATGTCGTTCTTGTTTTTTCTTCAACACATAAGGGTTGACATCTTGAGGAAAAATGTTTGTTTCAATATTGTCTAAAACTTTGCTCGCTGACGACCGCGTTGGAGAGTCGGGCGGACGATGAATTGACGCTGGAGCTCGTGAAAACCAAGCTGGTCGACGAAGTGACGAAACGTGGTAGCTACAACGCGGAGACTATTCTAAAGGCTGGATCTGGTAAGATGGAAATCGTCTGTCATTGCCAGAAGCCAGGTCATAAGCAGCGGGACTGTCGGAAGCTAGCAAACGATCAAGAAGCAGAAAGCAGAAGTGACCAGAAGCACCGGAAGAATCCATCCAAAGCGAAGGCGGTTCGAGAAGCGAAAAATGACAACTGTGCTTTCACGGCGAAAGGGACTGGTGAAACCGGAAACTGGATCGTTGATTCTGGGGCGACATCGCACATGTGCGCCGAGAGGAAATCCTTCCTTGAGCTGGACGAAGCAGTAAAGGAAAACGTCACGTTAGCCGACGGGACGATGCCAGCTGCGAAGGGCAAAGGAACGTGCGAAGTGGACTGCTGCGACACCATGTTGCTATCTCGACAAACAAAAAAAGGAAATTTTTCATCTCTTTGCTAGGTGGATTAATCATGAAATGGCTCAAAAGAAGGGGCTTTTTAACTGCACAAACTTCTCGCAAGAAGGCTTAAATGGACCGTTTTTGGCACTTTTAGGCCACTGTGGACTGGTCCAGTTGAATACCGTGACCAATGTGTCTGTGCTTCCTCCACAACAAACATCAAATCCACCTTGTCGTAGGTGTTGAGGCGCAGTGGTACGGAGCACAAACTTCCAGGCAAGTATAAAGATTTTGCTATTTCGAGCAATGGTTTGCCCTGTTCTTCATCTTCGCAGATTTCTACACCCAGTGGCAACATTCCGTCTAATCCCCCTAGGACCTGAGAGGCCGAGTCAATTTACGGGTGTAGCTTCCCAACAGCAGAGTGACGAGCGAATCGCAATCCCCCATGACCCAGTTACACATCAAGTAGCAATGGAAGTATGCCAGTACGATGCTTTGATGGATAACGGAACGTGGACCCTGGCGGAACTTCCAAAGAATAGGAAGGCGATCCGTTGCAGGTGGGTGTTCAAAACCAAGCTGGATGCCGAAGGAAATCTTGATCGACATAAGGCACGTCTTGTCATCAAGGGGTTCTCGCAGCGAAAGGGGGTGGATTAGGACGAGACATAGTTCGCTGCGATATCTGTTCGCGATGGCAGCGAAGCACAATCTGGATATGCAACAGATGGATGCTTTTACCGCTTTCCTCCAAGGCGAACTGATGGAAGAAATCTACATGGAGCAACCTCCGCTCTTTGTAGATCGACGGAATCCATCCATGGTGTGCCATCTAAACAAGGCACTGTATGGGCTGAAACAATCCAGTCGCGTGTGGAACAAGACACTGGACCAGATGTTGAAGGATTTTGGACTGACCCAAGCGAAGTACGATCCCTGTGTGTACTATCGCATCCAAGGTGGTAGCATGATATTCGTAGCAGTTTATGTGGATGATGTCATGATATTCTCGAATGACAATGACTGGACAGAGCAGACGAAAGCGTTTTTAGATGGTCACTTCCGCATGAAGGATCTCGGTGCGGCAAATAACTGCCTCGGAATTCAAATCACCCGCACAGAAAAAAATCAATAGCACTCGCCCAGGAAACCTAGGTGGAGGCGATGCTGGAAAAATTCAGCATGCGGAACTGCAAACCAGCGAAGATGCCTATGACAGACAAGCTGACGAAGGACATGTCACCGAAGAGCGATGATGATGCGAAGCAGATGGCCAACATTCCGTAACAGGAAGCGGTTGGAAGTCTGCCTCGCCCAATGTACTCGACCAGATATCCTGTACGCAGTAAACCAGCTAAGCCGATACAACTCCAATCCTGGAATGCAGGATTGGACCTCTACCTGCATGGCACGACGACGATGAAGTGAGTTTACTACAAGGACGGCAGCTACAACATCACTGGCTTCAGCGACGCGGATCGGGCGGCCGATGTGGTTCTGGCCAAGGAAAATCTGCAACTGGCTACGATCATGCTCTATGCACAAGGACATCGAGAAATTTTCAAACCCGAAAAATTCCTAGACCGAACCTCCAGCATGGACTTGCTTTGTAGCTGTGTTTTTACCGACTGAGCTAAGGAAGGCCCTGTCCTGAAAAATCATGCTGACGATGTGGACATTGTCGAAAGAATGTTCCTGCCCAGTTGTCAGAGCAGTAGACCAAGCTGAAACGTGAACCACAAAATGTTGGAATCAAAGGTGATTACGTCGAAAACCCTATTAACATTATTCAATTCCATTGAAAACTACTGAAACAGCCTCCGTCAAGTGAGTTGTTTTCGCTATAAGTACCACAGCGCATTGCATTCCTTCAAACATTTCTCTAAACTCGCACCAAATTTATGTTGCATTCCCAATTTAACGACAAACAGATTTCCCTAAACGCGCCCAAGCAATAATCGAACTTAAAGCTACTCTTTGTGTATGTACAATCCTTATCCTAACCGTCATCGTCTCGCCCCAACTACCTAGCTTCTTCCTGTTTCGATCTTCTCACTACGTTTCGTCTTTTGTCCCTCAACGAAAATCCGCTTTTATCAACAAGAAAAGAATACTAAAATATCAACTACAAGATTTCCCTAAACAGAATATCCCCCTAGAATGGTACCCTTCCCCACTCCCCGTCATCCGGATCACGCGCGTTGAGTCGTCCGTTAATCCTAAAACAACACAAAATTTAACCTCGAAACCGAAGAGAAACCCGCTTCCTCCTCGGCCAGCCACGAGACCAATCAATCTACATAGGATAAAAAAAAATCAACAAACAAATCCCATTACCCTCCGTTTATCCAACCACCCACCCCCCCTTTAAAGTCAATGCGACGACGTCATGATGATGACATCCGGTGCCGACTTCCGGATGGTGCCCGCCGACGACGGGTCGAGATCCCGTTCTAGTACTACCTTCTGCTGCTGCTGCTGCTGTAGAGCATGATGATGGTGATGGTGATGACTATGACCTCCACCCCCACCTCCGCCGCCATGGAGATCCGTTTCCTCATCTCCACCGACACCAATTGAAACACCACCGCCGCTAGTCCCACTGAGGTCCTGCAGTTCGAATTTGTTACCTTTACTGCGGTCTAGCGTTGCTCCTCCGCCCATGTGGTGATGATGATGATGATGGTGGTGATGTTTCACCTTTGGCGGTGGAGGCGTCACCGAGGGGAGCTGCGTTGGGGGCGACTGACCCTGCTGCTGCTGCTGCTGAGGTCCCGAATTTTCGTAACCGAACGTTGAGAACCGTATACTGTTAGGGTTCGGCGATTGAGTGACCTTGTTTTTGAACACTGGTTGGAAGAGCGATTCCCTGAAAACGAAAAAAAAAATCAGTTATGAAACGTTGACTGTGACCGAAGCCTGGAGCATCTCACCTCGTTTGACAAGCCATGTCGCACATACCGGCATCCTTCATGCCCATCGTCGCTCGCAGTGGATCCTCGTGGTAGCTATTCCGCAGAATGTCCTGAATCTCCTGCTGACTCCGGCTGGGGTCATTTTTTAAATCTATTCTACTGCTAGTGCTAAACATATGGCTCCCTCCTCCCCCGGCACCGCTGCCTCCTCCTCCGCTTCCGCCACCGCTGCCACCCCCGACCATCGAAGGCGAGATCACCTCCCGGTAGTAGCTGTTGGCAGCATTCTCCAGCACGTTGATCGGTTCCTTGTCGAAGGCTGGCGGCGGAAATTTGGTAATGTCCAGATCGACCGGTTTCTTGGTTGAATGCCGGCCCAGCTCGTTCAGTTTGCTTTCCCGTGATTGGCGAATGTGCTCCCGGATGATCTTGTGATCGCGAACGATCTTCCGCACGATCTTGATCACGAACGCAATCACCATGCCGCCGAAGATGATCCCGAACACCACCATGATGATTGTCACGTGCTCCGACTGGGCGGGGCTCTTCGTCTGGAAATGGCGCATTGAGGGTTAAGCAGTTCAGGTGAAGATTGGTCTAAAGTGGGTTAAAGAAGGTACCTGACACTCGTCTTCGTCCCACCGAAAGCGGCAGTTGATCCGTCCGTTGCATCGCAAATCGGCGGAAATGCAGGTGGCATCCTCGCAATCATACTCGTCGTCATTGCAACCTGGAAGAAGTAAATGAGCATCGTATTAGAATGCGTCTGAATAAAGGTTTTATTCATAATGTATGAGCTATGTTTTATACTACGGGGTCTTGGGGCTTTTGAAAGCGAATCTATTTGTGTTGAGTGTTACCGCTACCTAAAGCCACACCAAATGTGAACAGCACTTCTCAGTGCTAAATATTACCCGTAAATGTTCTACCTTGTTCGATTCGTATTCCTCTTCGATCCTTGTTTGGACCCTACCCGAGGTAATCCTGCTTGGAAATTGATTTGGAAAATTCCTCTGTGATTCTTTTGATTCTAAAAGTAATCAGCTTGGAAGTCGATTTCAAGAGAAACTTTGTTATGCTGCCTTGACACCTAATTGCAAAAGAAAAAGGTAATCTCTTGATCCCCCTAATGATGAAATTTATTTGAGCAATCAATTTGATATGCTCACGTCGATGAGGATGATCCATCACCTTAATGCCAACTAGGAAAAGTTCCCCCCTATTGTGGTAACCACTTCCGATTTCCATGCTCTACGCACGGAACCTTTGGACTTCGTTAAATTCAAGTTTTCTGACCGTCGGGGTGAATGCCGTGTATTGGTTGAAACCCTGGACGGATACAAACGCCTTTTTTTTTTCCTTTGGTTTGTTTTTTTCCGTCGATCTTGTTTTCCGTGCTGAGCACCAATGCTACCGACGTTCCTGGAAGGCAGCTTCCACACCTGGACACCCTACCTATCGACCCATCAACTCATGAACCGGGGACCAACGGCTTTACTTCCCATCCGAAGGAAGGCGTGATCAGAGATGTTATGCCTCAGAACATCCCGACTGGTATTAAACCCAGGCCTGCTGGGGTGAGAGGTAATCACGCTTACCACTACACCACCGGCGCCGTTAAAAACAAACGTCTTCTCAAGTATCTGACTGAGAAGTAACACAAATTTACGTCACGAAAACTGAGCGCCTGCTCAAGGTTGTCATGAAAGGTCTGCCCAGGCGTGAATCCCTGGACCAGATTAAAGATTAATAGACAAAATTACTTGGAATTGAGCCAGTCCAAGTAATCAAAATGAAAATGAAATCCTGTTCTGACGATTCACGCAACGGGATTTCTGATGATTTTTATTTAGTTCACTTCAATTCTAGTGAACTAAACAACCTTAGGCCTTAGAAAAAACTAGCCTTCTGTTCCATGGAAGAAACTTCCAAAACCTCACCCAGTGCCAGGGATGGGTCACGGAACAAACAATTGCAAAAATTGGCCGACTACGGTGGGCTGCGCACGTCGTAAGAATACCAGACGACAACCCAGCAAAACGACCCAACAGGAACAAGAAGAAGAGGCGCGCAGTTGACGAAGTTGACGATGTCGGCATCCAAGCTAGGCCAGTACACGTAGCATCTTGCGATGGTCTTTATTCGCTGCATGCCTGGATGACCACGATGGAGCAGTTCGAGGCACCGCTTATGATTCAGCGACGGGATGATGAGTTGTTCGGCAAATAGACTGCACCAATCCACCACAAAGAGCGATTTTTGTCTCGATTGGAACCGACGAAGGTCTGACCCGTCGTTTGAGACGTAGTGGTGGACTTGGTGGAGCAGTGGATCTTTGCAGTGGAGCAGTGGATGTTTAAACTGCTCGAACGCTTTCTGGCACTTTGGATTCCAGTGAAAGTTCATTTCTGCCTTGAGGAGGATAGCAGATAGCGTAGCATACACAAGTTGGGGACGAACTTGCCATACTAGTTGATGGCGCTCAAGAACGATCGCACACCGGATACATCGGTTAGAGGCGGCAGCTTGGATATTGCCTCAAACTTTACGGGATCCGGGCGTAACCCGCGACTGTAGAGCTTCCCGTAGACTGCGGTCGTGCTCCTCTTCCGTTTCACCGCCAACGATGACGTCATCAAGACAGCCAGAGGTACCCTAACATCATGTCGATGAGCTGCTGAAACCACCCAGCGGGAGGTGGTTGCACAAGTAGAGGTCACAAACTACGGTACTGTTCATCGACTTCCACCTGCAAGAAGGCATCGGAGACATCTGGAGCTTGACGAAGATGTCGTTCGGAAGTGGAAATGTATAATGCTGTGGTTGGAGAGCTGCGTTCAGACCCGTTGAGTAGTCTCCGCAAATCCTAATGGAGCCATTGGCTGTGCGAACTACGACGATCGGCCCACTCCAAATAATCGACCGTGGTAATTATTTTCAGCTTCTCTAGCCGGTCGAGCTTGCGGTCAACGGTTTCGTACATTGCGTGTTCTTTCAGCTCAAACTTCACTTTCGTTATCGTTCGCCGAGCTGCTCGCTGAAGACCTTCGGAAAATACGACTTGAGTGCAGCTGTAGACGCTGGTGATCTTGACACGTGACAGTAGAAGATATCCATCGGTACGGACCGAAGGTTGAAATTGTCGACCACATCGGATCCTGCAGTAACTGCACCTGCTTCTCGGTGACACGGATGAGCTCACGTCGTGTGCTGCTTCCGATGGTGACGTCGCACTCGAATTCTCCGTCGAGCGATAGTATGCTGCCAGATGCCGTTTTCGCTTTCACCGTTGCCGAAGATAACGCAGGACTGCCAAGTTTCCGCCAAATCTCCCTGCCGATGTCGGTGATGTTTGAGGCGGTGTCGAGTTGCAGGCTATGTCCGAACTGGCCACAGTCGGAACATTTGTGGTTCTTGTAGCTGCAATCCCGAACGAAGGGAAATGCACCGCAGAACCAACAAGGCGTTTCGGTGAATCGTGGTCACGCTTTTCGTACCGCTTTCCACCAAACTTGCGAATCGCTTGTACTTGGTCATACGTGGACGGAGAGTCGTGTTTGAGGGTGTACAGGCGCTGACATTCCTCAGAAAGCTGCTCCAATGTCACGTCGTGCCTCTCCTCGATCTTCGTTGCGAGACGGGTGCGAATCTCGACGTCGTTCTCCGATTTTTGGCCACACTCGTAGACCAAGCACTTGAATTGCTCCTCTGAGAGCTTGTCAAGCTCAAACTCCACGCAAGTATTGTTCACTCTGCAAGCGAACGCCACATGGTCGTCTGAAGGGTTCTTCGCATCTACATCGACTTATCATCGATTCTTTGGATCCGGAGCATGTGCGTGCTTTAAACGTCACTTTTCAGTAGTAATGCGGCATTGAGTGGAAGTGACATCGGTGCAGCTTCTCCATCAGACAATAGGAACCACTAATTTTGGCAATCCGTCCGCTATTTGGTGCTGTGTTCGCCAGCTGTTCCAGCAAATACGAGCTGTTAGAGAGCAGCAACAATCAATTCAACGTCACCTCAGGCTTGGCCTTTTGGAACACCCAGTTGGTTGAGAGAATATGATCACGCCAGCCCCTGTTGGCATCGTCTTTAGTCACCATCGTCCCCCGGAATCGTGGTCTTCCATTTCCTATGCAGATGTTAGCACATGCATTACGATTTATACGCTGTGTTCCAATGTTGCCCAAAAGTATTTTACAACATCACAGTGACATGGCATATTTGAGCCATGGTTGATATTAGGTGGCTGCAACAAACCTTTACAGTGACAACTTGATTCAGTTGGTTGCAAAACGATGTTTGAAGACTTATAGATTCATACGCTTAATTGGAACAAGATTGAAAATAGGTTCTTGAACACATCTTGGTTCGTAAACATTTTAATAACATCTCGAAACAGTTTCTCAATAGGTATAAAAAACATATAATTCAAACTCTGTTGCACCAAAGGTTCAACAAACGTAATGTTTTATGGAACTCTCGTTCAACAAACACAACAAAACACAAGTTCGATTTGTTTTCCTCCCTAATCCGAGACACCTAATAGTTTGCAAAACTGTTGTTGTTTCTGAACGGCTAATGGCTTTGTGAAACGATCAGCTGGTTGCTCCATGGTCGAAATGTACATCAGCTGTGTCGCTCCTTGTTGTAGGCTATCGTGCACAAAGTGTAAAGTATTCGCGATGCAGATTGCAGATTGCTTGTCACAATTGATAATTACTGGCCGCTGCTCGAATATCTGCGACCGCAAGTTGTTCCACCACATTGCTTCCTGAATTGTTCTAGACAGGGCCATATACTCTGCTTCACAGGATGAAAGAGCAACGGTGGGCTGCTTTTTTACGTTCCACGATATGGCTCTACCTTGTAACGTGAACACGTAACCCGTCGTTGACCTTCGGTTATCTGGATCTCCTCCCCAATCGGCATCGCTAAATCCGGCTAGTTCCGATGATCCTCGCTTGGAATACTCCAACTTCTTCGTCGATGTTCCTTTCAAGTACCGAATTATCTTCTTGACGGCCTCCCAATGCTGACGTCCCGGATTGGTGTCCGGACGAGTCACCGGGGCTACGAAAGACAGACATCCAACAGCTTCTTTGAAAGGAACTGTCTTCATCTCTGCTGCGACTGCAGCATGTAGATCTCCTCATCGTTCAGCTCTCCTTGCAAAAAGACTGTAACTGCGTCCACCTGATCGATGTCCAGATCGTATTCCACCGCCAACGCCACGAGGTAACGAATCGTATGTACTAGGGGAGAGTACACCTCGTCGTAATCTAGTCCTGGCCTCTGCGAACATTCTTTCACGACGAGAAGATCTTTGTACCGGTGAATGATTCCATCAGGTCCACGTTTCGCTTTGAACACCCATTTGTTCCGAATCGCTTTCCACCCCTCAGGCTCGCTCAGTGACCTCAGCTCATCGTTCATCGCTTGAACCCAATGATCTCTGTCAGGTCGTTGCAGAACTTCTTCGTAAGTCGTTGGATCGTCCATCGCACATTCTCCGTTGGTTAAATCAGGAGGTAACTGGGGGGAAATGGTATCACCAGAAAATGCTCTAAAGCTAAAACAGCTCTTGGAAATTCAGCTCCATGAACTTCACTGGCTGTGCATTTTGATCGTTCGTTAGGCTTCGACTTGATTCACCTTCTGCTAGGACTACAACATCTAAACTGATTTGAAAATCACCGCCGTCAGGATCGTACAAACCGTAGCCTTTGGTGTCCTCACAATAGCCGACGAAGATCGCTTTTCTGGCCTTGGCATCGAACTTCTTCCGCTTCACTTTCGGGCGGCTTCTTTCCAGACCACGCCTCTTCTGGCGTTATGTTCTCCAATGAACGCATTGAACATCGATTGACCAGATAGGCAGCTGTCGAAACTGCTTCCGCCCAAAACTGCTAACCAAGCTTTGCATCGTTGAGCATGCACCGTGCTTTCTCCACCAACGTGCGGTTCATGCGTTCTGCAACACCATTCACGTTACCGGATACCTTCACGTTCCAGAACTTCACGGAAACTTTCGTTGACGTACTCCGTACCATTGTCTGTACGCAAAATCTTCAGCTTCTTCCCGCTTTGTCTCTTGGCTCTAGCTTTGCATTTCTTGAATGCTTCATGCGCCTGATTCTTCCTTTCAAGAAAGAACACTACTACCTTCTTACTGGCATCGTCCACGAAGGTAATAAAGTAGCGACTTCTTTTAAACGATGGCACCTCCACGGAACCACACAGGTCGAAATGCACCAGCTCTAGCAATTCCTTGAACCTCTGGTGGGAAACGAAAATCGTGCCTGTTGCCCATGAGACACGATACACAATTGGTAAGTGCTTCAATCTTGAAGTCGATTTTGCTAGCCACTTCCTTGAGTTTCTTCAATCTTCCTTTATTCAAATGTCCTAGACGTCTATGCCACAACTCGATGCTGTTAACCAGAAACGATTTTTCTGGCCTACTGACACTCGCCGCTTATATCCCAGACTTCGCACTTGTTCGCCGTGAATACTACCGTGTTTCCTCGCTTACAGATGGTGCTGACCGATAACAGGTTGGTTGCTAAGTCCGGAATTTTCAACACATTAGCAACTTCCATGCTTCCTTCTGCAGTTTCCACAGAAACCGTTCCCTTCCCAACGGCCTTCATGTTGCTGTTGTTTGCTGTTGCAACGTCATGGTCCATGGCAACCGCGTTGACGAAAGGTTGATCCGAACGTGCCATGTGGCTGGTGGCACCGGAATCCAGATACCACTAATCGGTCCTTACATCTCCAATAGCGAAAATACAGCACAGTCCTTTTGACTTGCTTGGCTTCAAAGACGACTTTTTGGCATTGGGACATTTGGCTACAAAGTGCCCCGGTTTCTCACAGTTTTAACACAGCTTCTTACCTTTGTTACCGTTCTTTAGCTCGTGGGACTTCGTTCGGCTCGTTTTGCTGTACAGGGCACCTTCTGTGCTGCTGCTTTAGCCTTCACTGCATCCGCTTTCAAGGCCGTACCGGACACTTCGAGTCCCATGATCATGGGCTCGAACTGCTCAGGAAGTCCCATCAACAGAATCGCCGCGAGCCAATAATTGTCCACCTTGAGCCCCACGGATGCGAGCTTGTGACTTGTTTGTTTATTACAAGGGGTATGTCACTCAGCACATTATGCCGATATTAGATTCGGTACAGCTTGGGAACTTCCATCGGTACACCTTCGGCATACCTTCAGCACAATCTCGTAGGCATTAGGTTGTTGTAAATTAACTGCTGGATAACTGTCATTGAAGATGTTCACAACATTACGTGCTGTTTGACTGTATCTTCAGGAACATCCTCTTATTGAATATACCAGAAGAATTCAGACCAGCAGTTGCTTCTTGGTTCACTTATAGATTTAAATCCGAAATGTAGGTTCTAGAGTGGGCTCAAGAGAAAGAGCCAGTTATCCAGACCCCATTAGCACCCTTAATTCAAATAATGATGCAACTCACACAAAACAAACTACAGAAGTCTATTCATTATCCTCTATAGTCGGTCTCCAACAATGTTCTCCATCGGTTCCATCTCTTTCCGGCCACTGATAGACCGTTGTTTTTCACAGCACTATATACTAGGTTTCTGGTCTGCCTTTGAGTGCATTATAAAACCCTAAAACACAGGACTTTTATCATCCTATGAACATAAAACACCAACACCTGCCACTTCTCGCTTCATCCTCAGTCCGATTTATCCTTGCAATTTCCAACCAAAACATTCAAGGTGTCAGAAATACCGGGTTGTCGGGATAGGTATTTTGCAAACAATCGTAGCTTGCTCTATGACCGGCACAATTGACATACCTGCGGCATACTTGCCGAGCAGTGACAAAAAATATGATCCAAGATTGGTGTGCGGAGTGATCTACCCCTTGGTCTATTAATTTATTTAATAAGGCTCAATTGAACTAAGTTTACAGGGCCGAGGATTCTTGTTAACTAATACATCTTAAAACTATAGTTAAAAGGTACAACACAATATATATTTTATCTTCCGCTATCCACTAAGCCTCTTCCACCAGAACGGGAGCCGCTTCCAGTGCTTTTATTGTATGGCAGATTTGCCAACGGGGGTCAGAGCGCTTCCATTACAGCAATGGACGCAAAACGTGGTCAGCACTCACACATTCATCACGAAATGGTTGCTTTCCAAAGTCGACGACGCATCGACTGAAAGAACTGCTGATGAAGAACAATGAGGAGGACCACATTGCTGCCAAGTAAACAGACGATCGCGTGACACACATTGGTCTGCTTCTGTCGACAGCGGAGTGCTCATCAATTCGTCCACGTACGCCTCAGCACAATTGATTAACCGTACTGACGTAAATTTTCTGAGCAGCTCAATTTTCCTGGTTAAACCGCTGTCCTGAAATGCAGATTGCAGCTTCGACCAAGCATCCTTCGCAGTTTCCGCATCCTGAACCAGGCTGTAGTTGTAGCTCTCCAGATTTAGGCAGATCGTTGCGAGAGCCTGCAACTTCACGTCCTCAGGAACATCTTCACCGTCTCCGTCAATGGCAGACCAGCTTCTTTCACGGACCAGAATCATCCGCATCGCAAATGCCCGCGTCGTACAGTGGGATGAAATAAAAAATAGTGGGACATGGCTATTTGCGACGAAACTATTGAGTGTAGCATTTTGATTTCTTTTAGAATGAGTCTTCATTTTTTGAGTACTTTAATTGAGAAGTGAACATTTTTGATTAAGGGGGGTATACACTAGATAAAAAAAAATAACTTTTTTATGTCTTGATGAATATCTATGGAGGCATTGTAGATGAAGTCAATTTAAGAAACTTTGTCCAAGACGTCCATTTTCTATCTCTCAAGTGGACGAAGTTATGGGTGAAAATAGAGTACTAGCGCTAGTACCCACTAAGAAACCGTTTTTTACCATAACTTTTTAGTTTGAATTTGTCCCTCTTTTTTTGATTTCGTCCCACTGTGCGTCGTATAATTCTCTCTTTCTTTCAGCTTTTCAATGGCTGACAGCGCAACGGAACTTCTGACTCGAACGCTTCCTGCTTCAGTCCTGTCTCTTCCGTTGCCATCTCCATTCCCTTGCCTTGCTGTCCGGTTCCCGAACTTCCGCTTGTGGGCATACTGCTGCTTCAATGAAAAAATTTTCTGAATATTCCGGTTAGGGATTCTGGACCCCTAATCAACTGTAGAGTACGATTGAAACACGTCTTTATTGGTTAACGTTATACAGTGGAATGAATTTTATTTTATATTTTCTCTTTACAGCTGTGACACGGATTATCACAGACTACTGCGTTATTCAATAGAAACTGCTTCGTATCAAAACGCATTTTTTGTACCATTTAAGCGATTTCCGAGCAACCAAAATAACAAAAAATATAACGGAATAGATGATGTTTGCTGTGTTGCTTCAGTAGACACGCTGGCTAATGCCAAAATCTGGAAGAAATTGTTGCCAAAAACAGGTTATGAAGACGACGTTGTTGAATGTTTTGATTTACTCCAGCTACTCTAAAATTGTATAGTCCAGAGTGTTATTTTTCAAGTCCAAAACCTGCTAAAATTGAGTCTGGATGCCTCAATCAATTTCAGTGCCATCATCACTATTCCGACAAGATGTTTATCAACATAAAAATTAAGCATCTAATTGCATCAACAGAAAGCCCCATGGCATGGCTATCAAAAATAGCCATCACTTCCCACGTCGTCAGCATCGTCATCGTCATCTTCTTCTTCTCGGCTTTATAGGCTTCTTACACGAGTGTTTTGCCTGCTCTCAACAGCTATTAATTGAGAACTGAACCGGGAATCGGTCCCACCAACTCCGCATATACCGTGCCTTAATCGACCATGCCATCGGAGGCCCCAGCAAAAACAAGCCCGAAGGCCCAATCGCGTCATTACCCTTGTCAGTCACGTTTCATAAACGACCTGCCCACCATTAGATGACAACAACTGTTCGTGATTTTCCGGAAGGTCCGAAATTATCTTCAAATAGCAACGCAAATCATGTCGAAATGAGCTAAGAAAATACTTACTTTCACCGGCCGCTTTCTCCCTAAATGCAGTGAACAGTATCGCGAAGGTGGAATTGATGGCGGACGCCTCGGCAAAGAACCGGATGTGCAGCACGTTCGATTTGGACACCACCGAGTCGGCAATCGAGCCGCAAAAGTTTTTCAGTCTGCAAAACGAAAACAAACAAACAAAAAATTGGTTAATCAATAACGGTGTGACAAGCAGGTGACAAACAACCACGCGTCTCCATCGAAGCGCTCTCAATCCAAGCAATCCCTCTGGTCAAGCGACATTTTATTGGACTCGCATTAAATCATCTAGTCGGCCGAGCGTGGATCGTTAAAGCGTGGTCGTAAACATTTTTGAGCTAAACAAATACTACGATGGTGATGGGCCGGAGACGCGCGCGTACGAGGACAGGTGCCAACGGAAGAACGGAAGCGGCGAGAATCCAAAACACGCTGAAAAACATAAACTTTTCGTCGCAAACTCACCTCGACGGCAGATCGGTCCGCTCGGTAAACACGTCGACAAAATTGCTCTCGCAGTCGTTGGGCTTTTCCAGCTTGAACACGATGAACGAAAGCTGAATCTGCAACGGGAAAGATAAGCGACACACAAGACAGAGACAGGAGTGAGAAAATGGGGAAAAAAGGTTCAGCAGTGTACAAACAAGGTGAGACACGGCTCGTAAAGTTTCACTGCCTCTGACCTTCCATCCATCGGCTACGGTGACCACCCACATGCAGTCCAGAGCGAGACCATGCTCGATGACCGTCTGCTGTTTCTCCCGGGGCACGTCCGTTCGGTTTAGGAAGCCCTCCATGCCGGACACCTCAATCCGACAGCCCTCGTCGTCGTAGACGGCTGTGAAGAAGAACAAACAAAGAGCATGAGCAGGACGCGAGGGGCAGGTGGACGGAGTCGGTCCATATCCTAATGAGAACGTTGGCGTGAAGCAGACCATTTTCACCTATTTTATTGATTCTGCCAACATAATCTGCTTTTCTCCGGATTGCTCGGTTCATTGTGTGTGACTTGAATCTGGGGTACGGACGAGAGTGCCATGTACAAACAAAAGGTCCATTCATTGAAAAGAAGCAGAAAAATCCCGACAAGTTCATCGCTACGAAAACAAAAGTGTCGAAAAGCTGATGACAATTTCGCACCGGAATGAAGTTAATCCCATTACCGCCGTAAAAATTGCTCAAATTCTGAAAGTTTTCACCTGTCATCGCTTACCAATGAGTGCCCTTTTGGACGACGACGACGGCGACGCTTCGCATGTTTTTACTTGGCGTCAGTCGACCCACGCACTCGCTATTCATTGGCATCGAAATTAGCATGACAAAGCAGTCCGTTGCCAACGCGGCGTGGGCCAAATGAATAGAGTGCGATTGTAAATAAATATCCGTTGCGGGGACAGTTTTCATCCCCTTGCGAAGTAGGCGAAATTCAGATTTTTTATTTTTTTATTTCGCCAAGGATTGCTGTGATCATAAGCCTGCTAGATCTACACACTACTATGAGGTCGCAATTGCTGTAGTGATTGTTTTGTACAAATTGCCCATGCCATCGCCGCCGGCCCGAATCGGAGGATGGGGGAAAAGGTAAATATTTAAGCGGACGTTTAAATTAGCGTTAAAGAAAATGGTTATTATTATTTGCGACTGCCGCAGGCTGGTGCTGCGGCGGTGAATGACCACGGGTGAAGCTAGGCTGGGACAGCGAGGGATTCAGAAGCCAGTGCTAATCATTCGCAAATTCAATTCGGAATGTTTCACAATCTAGATAGAGCTGGAATTAGAGCGTAACAGTTTTTGGAAACAATGACTTCTCTCGACGATTTATAGAAAGTCATTGGTCGCCCACTCAAATCAACATCACCAACACTTCCCCTTCCCGATGGTTATGTTGGTTTGCGTGGGCGTGCCTTGAGGTCCGAGAAATCATCGAGATAAGTCATTGTTTACAACAGCTGTTACGCCCTAGTTCCAGCTCTATCAAGATATCAGGCATAACATTTGATAACGGCACAAAAGCATTTGTAAACAAACTTTCTAATGCCCTTTACACGCGAATCAAAGTACGCCCACGCAAACCAATACCACTTTCGGAAAGGTGATAGTTGCCCCTATCCGATGATGTTGTGAAGTGACTATAATAATAATAATAAAAAAAATATATACATAAATATATATATATATATAAATCATTCTTCGATTCCACAACTCCCTCAAACTAGCAATAACTTCCAAGAATTGGCATAATTCTGTTTTCATCTTTCTCTATGAAATTCCATTAGAATATTCTTGATAACTTCCTCTTCAGAATGACCGTCGCACTATTTTCAGACTCATCCGATAATTCCCTTTGAGCTGCTTTGTAGGTAATGTCAGAATTGTTTTTGAAATCCTTTTCAGTATTTGCTTAGTACTCAAATATTTTGCCTAAATGGCATTGAAAGTCTCCCATAAATTGCCAGATGTTCTTTTGGCATAGTTCCGATTAAATTCCTTAAAATTTTATAAAAATGAATCTCCATAGAAACATTGAACAGAATTCCATTGAAATTATTCTCACGCATACTCCTTAAAATTCATCATAATAACTTTCTTTGATTTCTCTTCCGAATTCTATTTCCATTCTTCACAATATATCCATGCAATTGTCATCAGAGTTTTTGAAAGACAACTGACACTGTCTTCAACCAGAGGTTGCACAGACTGAAAACTTAACACTAGAAAACTGACAAGACACCACACCCAGTAGACCAGTAGGAAAATTTTCAGGTTGCGAAAAGTTCCACTGGCTGGAGCGAAAATCGAACCCTCACTTCGTGGCACTCACAATAGAGATTAGTGACGTTTAACGCTCGCACACTAGAGGGAGAAACGCCGTGTAAAGTTGTTTATTATTTTCCTCTGGTTAACCCAAAAATGTATGAAAGTATGGCACCAATACATCCGGATGTGAAAATCTCCTTTTTAATAGAAACTAAACGATCGATTCAACCTCTGGTGGTGAATAGGAGAACGTCAAAAAGAGTGTTATGAGCATAATTTTTTGCCTTGAGACATAGGAAGTGGAACACTTTTTTACTTTTCCTGATCAATTGATTCATCTGAGATGCTGCAAAACTTAATCTACAGTTGAAAAATTTAATTCTGTAACGTTTTTGAAAAGATCCTGCTGATGTTCAGGAATATTTTTGTTGAGAAAAATGGATAGTTAGAAAAGTGCCTTAGTGGTTATGATCTTCCGGATTTCTTGTGTGTGAATAGTTAAGGTGCAAATCATTTCAGATTTGTGGAAAATCGTACAATTAGACAATTACCGATGGAAATTGGCAAGATTTTGAATGAAAAATGCTGTTATTTGCGTTGGGGAAAAGACTTATTCTGATGTAAACAAACGGTTTGGTTGACGTTTCTTCTCGAACTCGCGTGGCGCACTCTACGTTGGTGGTGCATTAAAAAGGCGTATACACCTGAAGAACGGAGCGAGTAAGAGAGGTGACACAGTCGGAAGAAGTGTTAATTTGTTTACTAAAAAGAACCATGCCCATTTTGCTATGGCAAGTTTGCTATAAGAAATGCTCCTCGTGGTTATTAGCGAAATTCACATCAAAGATTGATTAATTGCGTAAGAAATCAGTTTGGCACGGCATTTATGACTAGCATACACCTTCCGGTCGTATGAAACAGGTCAAAAACTGTCCAAATCCGCAGGTAAAATTTTTGTTTTGAATTTCTGTGTGGCAAAATAGTGAACTTTTCGTGAACATTAACGGCAAAGAACTCACCAACACCGTGAGTTCCTGCCCACCTGTCATTTCCCATCTCTACGCCGCACGACCCGAGTAGCACATTTCTCGAAAAACGGTTGAGGTTACATCAATGTGATTTATTTTAATCGTATTCAAGTTGCTGCAACTATTTGTGACTAAAGTGTGCTACTTGGGGACCACGAAGCTTACAAAGATGGATGGAACTCTACTCAGAATTAACTTGAAATTCTCCTTTGGTTTCGCAAAGAATTTGCCTCACACTTCACTGTAAACTATTATCAACATTACCTTAAAATTCTGAAATTCTAGGGCAATTCCGAATTCTAAAGAAATTTAGACTGCTGTAACTTAATGTTCACAGGTACTTAACAAAATGCTAAAAATTATCTGATGTCTTTCTAATTTTCCTTATGAATTATCCTCAAAAATCTCACAAACATACTCCAAAGTCCAGCAAAAAAGGTTATCTTCCATTTAATTCCACTTAATTAATTTTGGTATCCAAGACAGATACGTATTTCGACTACAATGTGCAGTCTTCATCAGTGTCATTCCCACTAAAGAACTTATCAAAATCTAACCCCCTTAAGTACTCATCCCCTAGGTAAAGAAAGTCAAGATCATAGGTATAACATTGTAGTTTCATTTTTATACCTATGATCTTGACTTTCTTTACCTAGGGGATGAGTACTTAAGGGGGTTAGATTTTGATAAGTTCTTTAGTGGGAATGACACTGATGAAGACTGCACATTGTAGTCGAAATACGTATCTGTCATGGATACCAAAATTAATTAAGTGGAATTAAATGGAAGATAACCTTTTTTGCTGTTTTAAAAAATTACGAAAATTCCTTCATATTGAAATTATGATTTTTTAAATATAGAAAATAAATAAAAATTCCAATTTAACAAACATTCAGACCCACTATTTTCAAAAGTTTGAAGATTTTTTTCAGCGAATAATCTTTAGAAAGTGGCTCCATTTTCATGCTTCTGCAACACATTAACATGCAAACGTGTTGTAACAAATCCATGTACGAGGTTGTAATAATTTTCAACGTTGATGGCCTCAAATCATTAAAGGAGCAGTTTTTATTTTTTGATTAGAGTGTAAATCAATTGAAATTGTATTTTTAAAGCAACATGTTGGAAAAATCTGGAAAAATCAGGAACATATTGAAAAAATCTGGAAATATAGGTGATCTGTCTGTGTATCTGGCCGGATAGTAGGACAGATTGAGCGATAGATAAAGCACAATTCTGACTATCACAAGGTTCACAATTCGAGTCCGGTCTGAAGCCTTTTTTATTTTTTTTTTGTCATGTTTATTCCTTCCAATGATGAAGTTATTTATACCCATCCTCACAAACACACTCTACATTTTTCTGTCTCCACAACCAACACTTGTGACCAGTCTTGTAAGCGGTCATTTTTTCTGCGATAATCGATTGCCTTTGCTTCCGACACTTGCAAAACAAACTAGTGACAAACTAAAATGTCATATGACAGGCTCTGTCATACGACACTGTTGCCGAAGACCCTCACGAATGTATGTATTTTAGTTTTTCTCATAATAAGAGCTGCATAGTAAAAAACGTCAGCTGTTTCAACCTCTGCTTTTGGCCCGCTGGGCTGGTAAACGGCTGGACAATGCTTACCATTGATACTTCGCGTATCTGCAGGTATAAAATAGACCCCACTAGTGGTCCTTAGCCTCTTGTCCAGTAACTCCTATCCCAACCTCCCCGCGGTGCCGGCTGGGGTACGAGTAACCAACCTCAGTGGGACTTTGGTCGTATGCTGACAAAGAAGGGGGAGGGACTCCTCTCTCCGGAAAGTGCAGTCTTCGAGCGTCTGTTCACCATGGAGGTGCGGCTTAAAACGGCATCTGTTTTCCATGTTAGGAGCGGTTGATCAACGTCCTAGTGCCAGCGTGGGACTCTAAACAGTGCTGTGCACGATGGTCCCCCGACGAGACAATGGGGGTTGATGCAGGCCCTACAAACCAGCCGTAAAAACACAAAAGTACTGGAAGCAAGCAATGTAAATACGGACCGGAACAATCGGCATAGACTG